GCGGGGGGGGGGGGGGGGGGGAGGACCAGGGGGGGTGATTCAACCACTCAACCACTAGATGTCGCTGAAAACAACAAATCCTACACACTGTGTCTTTAAAGAGGAGTTGGCAACAGTGCATGTCGTCATTAGATGGTTTTTCTAAGGATATATTTGTTTTAAGACAGTAAATGATCTTGAATGTGTTTGACTTTGTACGGGTTCGTTTATTGAAAGGAAATCGGTATTGCAGGTCAGAACTATTTGAAAACTGAAAGTCATTCATAAAACTAAATCAGCACATCTCTACTTACGACCTGTCCGGGGTAAGCTCTGTCTCTGGCAGTGACTGCTGGAGACCGGCACTAGCTCCCTGCGACCCGGAAAGGAGCAGCAGGCAAAGAAAATGAATGGATGGAATCAGGCTAAGCTAACAGTCTGCTAGTTTAGCATAGAACGAAGTGTAGACAACACAAAATGAAGCTTTTACAGGTTTTTGCGCAGGTGAAAAAGAAACACTTAGCAGCATCTCTAAAAGTTCAGCAGATAGTCACAAATGTTAGTGACATATTCTTACATCTTTCTGGTTAAGCTTTAACTTAAAAAAACAAGTAGTAAATACCTACTTTTTCTGGTTACAATGAATTAAACTATTATACATACTTTATATACTTTCTTTAACTTGATACTTAGTGAAATCGATTTAAAAAAGAGTGTCTGTGGTATGTAATAAGCCACACCGTTTTTTACATGTCACACAGAGATTTGCATGTTTTCGCTGTGGGGAAGCAGGAAGTTGGACTTCATGCAAAGCAAATCTTATTTCTGACCACACTAAAGATGAAGCTGCTTAAAAGTGAAATTTTATTACCAGCGGAAGCTGCACCAGGACATGTGTTACTAACATGGAGTTAGTAAGCAGAAGGAGTTTTAAAAATTGAAAAAATAAAAATGTCAATGGATGGCTAAAGAAGGATAAGACTTAGAAGAAAACTAGGCTTCAGTCTGACACCTCAACAGAATGTTGTTTTGGTCCCCTGATCACTGACCAGGTGTCCCTCACAGCTGCACCAACATCTACCACACCGCAAGACCTCCCAGGTGGCTTTGCTGTGGTCCAAAGAAGTAGTTCTGTGAAGCGATGTCCTATATTCAGTCTGTGCTCACACACAGCACTGCTCCAAGGATGGTAGCGAGTAACAATGACGTTCCCAATCAATTTCTGACAATTACTGGCTTGTCTGGTCAGTGTCGATGAGCGCTTCAGGACATGCTCTCCAACAGATCCTTCCCCTCATCGATAAATCTGAAGCTGACCGGTGGGCTCTGCCGGTGGAAGACCTGAGAGAGACTTTTTATATGAAAGAGTGATGAAATGTAGGCTATTCCCAATGTGCTGCAGTATGTTTTTATTGGGGACCACTAAAAAACCCTGGGGTGGCACCAAATCCAAAACCCAATTTCTTTAGGGGCTTGGTTGGAAATGAGGTGGTGCCTCTGATGAGCTGAAGTGGGCTAATATAAAGATATGACTGTCTTACAGTTTATTATAAAAGGGACTGAGGCGGAGGATTTCATTTTTTTCTGTCTAAGAGCAAATATTTGGGTGTCTGAACAAGCCGACCAACTTAAAAGCTTAAAAAACAACCCTCACATTTAGTGCATCCCCCCTACCCTTCAGAAAAGGGAAGTTCAAACTTCTTTGCTCTTTCTGTTTGCTCTTATTTTATGGACTCAAAGTTCATTCACCATGCTGAAATAATCGTGTCATTATTGTACATAGGATTAAAATCCAAATATAAAAATCTGACCGGTATTTAGTCATTTTTAAAACGTTTCGTTTGCTTCTCAATAACTGAAATGAAATGGAGAAATAAAATAGAGAAAACACAAGAACGAAACAGCAAAGTACCTAAAGTTGTATGGCGTTCATGTATGATAAAGAAATCTACGTTTAACTTGTAAAACAGAACTGCAGAGATATAAAAAATACCATTTCACTCTTTGGAACAAGTGTTGACACATCACCCACTTCTATACATGTGATGAACTGAGACACAGCTAATATGCCATGGAGAGGCAAAACCTTTTCAAAGTATTTCATGTTATTTTCAAGTATGTCATTTGGTGGCTACTATGTTCTAATCAGATTATCGACCTTGTAGTGAGGTTTGGAAGGCATCCAAAAGAAGAAAAAACAGAGCAAGTAAACAAAAACAATGTGTATGCATGTTTCAGCATGTTGGCAAAAGCAAATGGTGCCACTGAAATCCTTGGAAACACAAAGTGATCAGATTAAATCAGTTGGAAAACCTCTGGGAAATGAATTTGTAAGTGACACCTAAAAGTATACTTACTTTGAGGTAATCATTCTCGGATCTGAGCTCTTCTATTTCCCTGAGGTACTCCTCATACATGCCGTCCGTGAACTCCTCTGTGAGGTCTGAGAAAGCCAGAGAGGTGCTGGCAGGAACCCTGCTCTCCATCGAGGTGACCGACCGCTCCTCGCCGGGGGAGGTGCTCCCTTCCCCGGCCTCCGCGCTCAGAGAGAGTCGGTCCTTGTCGGTTCTCTCGGCGGAGGAGCAGGAGGTCCTAAAGGCGGCTTGTTGGCAAGCTTTGTCCGCCAGAGAGACGTCCCTGAGCGGCTTCTCTGAGTCCGGACCACGGCTGCTCCTCGACTCGGCGTCGCTGCTCGCAGCGTCTGCGGAGAGTTTGTTTTCCTCGGAGGCGCAGTCCGACAGCTCCGAGCTGCTGTCGGTCGGAGAGAGCTTCCCGGCGGCGCAGCCGGAGTCCTTGGATAGATCATCGGATCCAACGCTGCTCGCGTCCGACACCTTCCTCCGCCCGCTGGCGCTCTTCGCCGCCTTGGAGGACTTGGACAACACGCCGCCGGACTGGGACGATTTGCCCGTCGTTTTCCCGCCGCTTCTATCCGTTTTACTGTCCTTCCCAGCGAGGCTCCCCACGGGGCTGCGCCTGGAAATGCGGCTCCCCAGATGGATGGCTCCGGGCTTGACGCTCAGGGTCGGGGTCCCGATCCCGCCGCGGATCTTTGTGAACGACCACCCGGGCACGTCCTTCGGTCTGGCAGGGGATGGTGCCCGGTTAATCCTCTTCTTCTCGGCCGTCGGCTGAGCGGGAAGCACCGCGCCGAGCTCGGCAGCTCCAGCCCGGGGTGTCGGCGGCGGCTGGCCGGGCACCGCGTGCTGCGTCTGGCCGCCGTCCGAGCTCTCCGTCCCGCCTCCGCTTTCCATCTTCTGCCGGAGATGGAGTCTCCGTTCTTTGGGCGAGGCGAAGAAGACGTGAGCCGGAGAGTTGTGGACATCAACCTCCTTTGTTTTTGTCATTCATTCCGTTTAGGACGACACCAGAAAACAGAAACAAACCCCCCTCTGCTGAACCAGGAGGCAGAAGTTGGTGTGAATGAAAAAAAAAAAAAGCTGCAGAGAAACACAAAAGGAGATCACTCCTCAAGGAGAGCATGCAGAATAACAAGCCAAACCGATGGAGGCAGAATCCAAAACCTGTAAGAATGTAAAATATAATCCAGGATATAAAATAATATGCCCGTTTTTCCGCTCTCCTCGGGGTTTCTTTGCGTGAAACGCGCTCACAGAGCGGTTACAGGGTGAGAACAGGGAAGCAGTGGTGCTTCTGGGTGTCTGTCTCTCTCTCCTCCTCCTCTCCGCCCAGAATAACGGGATGTAGCTCAGAAAAAGGCCAATCTCTGTTCCTGAAGCTCTCTGTCGCCACCGCTGCAAAAAAAAAAAAAAAAAAAAAAAAAAAAAAAAAAAAAAAAGTAGCCTACTAACATCAAGAGAGGGAAAAAAACCATAAGTGGGGGTGCTTCAGGGCAAAATATGGTGATAATGCCCAGTTTCACAGTTGAATGTGTCACTAACAGCCCTGATGTTTTTGAATGTCATACTCACTTTCTGAGCTCATTTGGTACATTTAAATGTTTATGTTCATGCCAATGAACGTTTAATGAATATGGAAGCCCATTGATGCCAATTAGATGAAAAAAAATACATTTTTTTTTCAGTTTTGTTGCCTTCATCTTTCGCACATTTGTCTGTAAAAAATCATATTACATATAGTTTTGACACGGTTTGGAATATATTTAATAGACATTTTTATGTTATGTATAATACCTTGTTTTATCTATCATGTTAATATGCTTTTTATTGTATGTTAAACTTTTCTTGCTTTTATTGTGAAGCACTTCGTGATTTTATATCTATGAAAGATGCTATATATAAATACTTTACTTACATTTGTTGTTGCTCTTGAGCTTTTTTTCAGTTGCTTGTTTGAAGATTTGTATTTGTGGTTTGTACGGTACCTGGGTTGTTTTTGAGCTTAACATATTTATATTAATGAATATTAAAAAGAGCACTGATATGAAGTACTTCCAGTCAAAATTAATGATGAATTTTAACATGTCTATTTTTCAAGGCTGAGCTGTAAATAAAGACTAATAAGCATAAATACTGCTTATCTCAGTTTATTAGAGTTGGGCAATATTGGCAAAAAAATTAATCACGATTAATTGTGGTATTTAGCCGATAACGATTAATTTGACGATTAATCCCCTGGAGTCCCTGGACACACTTATTTTGTAGTCACATGACCAATTAGTGGGAAAGATTTGCTCTTTATAAAAAATTGTTCCAAGCTGTGTGAAAATTACAGACTTCAGGCTATACATCAATTGTGTTAGTAGATAAATAAATTACAGAACTTTATTTTTAATGTTCGTCATATTTGAAGCAGAGAGGAGCACCAAGCGGACTGACCGGAGTAATCCCCCATGTCAGTCTGCCTGGTGGTATTAATCGTATTAATTGTCAAGTGCCAAAAAGTAATCGATTAATGTTTTTCTAACGATTAATTGCACACGATACGATTGTGCCCAACCCTACAGTTTATGATGGGTTTTTTTAATCTGTGAATGCAGTCACTTCCTGATGTCTGGAACCCTTGTTTATCACCAAAGAATGCATCTCCTGCATGATGCGTTCTTTCTGCTTAATGCTTTTCTCCTGCAGTGTTTTGCTTCTGCGTAATTGGGTCATTTTATTCGTCTCTGTTGTGAAGCGACTTCCCAGTCCAGTTCGCTGCGTTTGGCTGAATTTGAGCACTTTCGTAACTCAAGTGTAACATCCTTTTACACTCAAGAATTTATCCTGCTTCTGTTTTCTGTCGCAGCATCGACACCATTGACCTGGTGTCAACAGAAGTCAACAGATTGTTGCCATGATCCATGGCTACTCAAACCTCAGAGTCCTGTTCATAAAGTCTTACAGGGAGTTTTCTGTCCGCGGTGCTCTACAGAACAATTGCAGTAACTATGTAACCTTGGACCCATCCTGTGTGAAATAAGGCAAAATCAATAAAATAAAATAAAAGTGTTCTAGTCTATCAGCTAAATAGAGCTGTTCCATTACACATATAGCCTGCTAAATATTATTGAACTGTTTGAACATTTTAATGATGAGTTCACAGGCAAAGCACACCATTAACAGAAAGTAATGCATGAACAGTTTCATTGAGATAATGCGTGTACAGAAGTGATTTACACAGCAGTAACAATAAGCAAATGTTGTGTTTTAAATTAAAACGTATAGATCTGAAGGGGAAACATGAAATGTAAGTGCTGCGAATTTTTGACGTTCTTTATGTTTCTTCCACTGCCACCCCTAGAGTAACCAAGTTAATGATTTCATGAGCAAACATTTATGACTGTTTTTGGGAGCTAATTCTTTGTATTTGTAAGGGTACCCCAGCAGTAAAATATATATACACATTTTAAAGCTATTATGATACGGTCCAGATTAAATATTTTATATGGAAGAGGCTGCCAGAACACTTTCTGCTTGTATTAAAACGTCGTGCAGTTTAAAAAGATGGTATAAGTGCTGAATTGGTCTGCCTGCAAGTCTTTCAATAAAGGAAACATTTGTTGCATATGATAAGAAAAAAAACTAAACTTTCAAGTGACCAAATATCCTATAAAAGTGAAGGGGGGGGGGGTACTTTTTGTCTCCCTACAAACTATAGTTAAAGAAGAGCAGATACATTTTGAAAGATGTTCATTGCCTTAAACTTTCATTTAAATTGCATACAAAACATTTCTTTTAAATATGTCTATAAAAATCTTATTTTCTGCTCTCAAGCTGCAAATTCCAATTTAAGGAGGAAGTTTCATCAAAACTACAAATGTGTAAAGAACCCACAGGGACCACAAGGCCACCCAGCACCCCACTGTTCCCCAGACCTCAATCTGAGTCAACCAAGCAGTAAATACCAACACAATGAGCATATTTCACTAATTGTGACTGGGGAAAAAAATCCCCTGATGTGCCTCTCATTGATGCACTGTCTGGGTAATGAAGTGCAATACTTTCTAATCTGCTCTCCTCGCAGAAACAATCATAGCAGAAAGTTGCTGTCTTGCAACTTATCTTCAGTCCAGTAATTGGAAGGCGCTCAGCGCTGTAGGTGGTTATAAAGCTGAGCTGTGTCAGCAGTGTCCCCGTCACCGCCTGCCTGTCCCACATTAGCAGACAGACGTGTTCTGTTACGTATCACTGCCTAACTTTGGGGACTGGACTGCACTTATGTAATTTAGTAACATTTTCACGTCCACTTTGCTGTTATTACATGTTTTATCAGAACTTTTCTGAGTGAACTGAAATTATAAAAGCTTCACCTGCTTTATTCTTTCTTCCCCAGGAGAGCTGAAGGTGCAAATTGTTCCCATTTCAGTGAAACAAACCTCATGGGGTCTGTTTTGTCTGGATTTTAAAAAAAAAAGTTTCACCACACTCACCTTCCCTGCAGGTTACAGAAAATAGCCTCTGTATCATTAAATGTGCTGATTCTTCTTTGCATCCTTAGTGTTTGTGGCCGTGGTATGTTGAGGTTATGATTCAAACAACTGAAAACATTTAATACACAATATTAAAGGGTGAGGTACATTTAGTTACATAGCCATTAATATGATGTTTTTTTTTGTCTGAGCAATCTCATCTTATTGCAATAACTTGTGTTTTCAAAATAAAAATCTAAATTTATGCTGCAATTGAATGCATTTGTTTTTAAATTAGGACACAAAAACACCATGGGACGTCGTTTACTCAGTTGTTTTTATTGAATAGCAATTCTAAACAAGTTTGTTTTAATCACAAACTCTATAAGATAAAGGACAATAAAAAATCTATGAGAAAAGATGAATATAAATAAAATAGCTGAGTAGGTTCTGTTCTGAATTGCATGTGAAAAGAAGTTGCCATGGGAAAACATTAAGCAATCTTTTACTTCCACCTTGTGTTGGGCAACAAAAACTGCAGCGCACACTGATAATGTTCAGACAATAAAACAGGAAGAAAAAGATTATTTACACAATGAGATCAAAGCATTTTGTTGAAATGATTTAAGCAGAAAATCCCAGGTTTTTCAGTGTTATTGTTGTAAAGATTTATGTTGGAGTATCAGTCCAGTTTAATTTGACCTTTGTTCTAAAAGGGTTTTATTTTGATGAGCCTTTGTATGTGACATATGACTGTGGCTTTGTTTGTATGACGTACAAGCAGGACCCTGTCCCACTGAGAGCCTGAATAGAAGCCATTTTCCCCCTCAAATGTTCCCTGATTGTTCTCCTCCTCCTCCCACCATGCCCTCTGGGACCACAATACAATATATATATATTGTTTTAATTTAGCTTAAATCTATATTCAGTTTTCCAATTTTTAGCAATAAATTTTCTACTTTTTGTATTTCAAAAGCAGGCAAATTTTCATATGGTAATTTGCAACAGTGGCAAAAGGAGCAATCGGAAAACCTTTATTAAAAACAAATATACAATTAAAATCACCTTTGTTTTTTGTAGAATATGTACCATGATTGTGGATCGGGAGTTTTACATCACCTCATGTCTGTTTTTCTTTAAGCAGGCAGCCGGTTGCGTCAGACAGTATCAAATATATAATATCAGTGATTCACAAGTTTCATTATTAATGAGAGAAATACTATAGCTACTATGGTTTGTCCATCTGACAGCCAAAACAGTTCATTGTCTAGTTTAAGTCCAAATATACACATACCATCCCAAAAATAATCTACAAACTGTAAAACAGATTTTTCAAAATTGAATACCATAAATACAATATCTTCACTTTTAGAAATGTTGTACTACAATTTACATTTTTTATTTTGCAGCTATTAATTATTTATTCACAATAAGCTAAAATAAAAACTCTTAACTATATGTTAATCTAAATTCTGATAATAAAAAAACACTTCTATAAAACTTTTGGTCTGTGGAGTTTCACCATTATTCTGCTGTCAAAGTTGTTTTGGTTTGTGAATTCTATTTATCGCATCTGATTGGCTGCGGGAGACGTCTGTCAGTCATTAGTTGACGCCCCGTCTTCCAACAACTTCCGCTTCTGTGAAGAAACAAGACTAAACACGATCCATGCCCATCGTTTGTTAGACTTGCCAAAACATCCAGACTGTACGTCCAGCCAAGGTAAGATGCCAGATGTTTTAGCGCTCTGGTTTGTGTTCTATAACGTTGTTTTCAGTGTGGAAAATTAAATTTTCCTATTTTTATTTAGGAATATTCTCTGCTGTGCTAGAATTAGCCACCTCTTTTTTTCCCCCTTAGCCTGCCCGCTAACTGTATGTTAGCTGTCAAAAAGCTTCTAGATATTCAGCCAGACTCAGACTGCTGACATGATAGCGTCTGCTCAGTAGAAGTAATAGCTCTTATCCTTATGGGCAGTTATTGTTGGACTCGTTTGCATTTTATTTTATAGAGCTACAGCCAAGTCTAGTGTGGGCGCGCGCGTGCTATGATGGTGAGCAAACAGTTTACGACAGGAGCATAGAAAGGGTCTCAGAGTTGTCAGGATTTAAATCGCAATACGTCAGTCGCCATTATTAGAAGTCTGTACCTTTTTATTTTTAAGCAATGTCAACCATCGTGGTCTTTTTTGACTAGCTTATTTTATAGGGAGATTTTAAGAAGTACGGAGTATGACTCAAACATTTGTGTTTTAGTGGAAAAGTCCGGTGAAAGTGAGATGGTTAAAAAAACAAAGCCGTTCATGCACTCATTGTCAACTCATCTCGGGAATTGCTCAGCAAATAGTGGGAATGTCCCCCTGCCTGTTTGACTTCTGGCTGCCTCGTCTTCTCCATCTGAGTCACAGGAGGAGAAACTAAACAGATCTTTTCCTGCAAGCCTTGGTGCACTGCAGGTCAATGACACTCAGTGATGTTTTTTTTTAAACAACCTTTTCTCAAAGCCATCCTCAAAGTCATCTATTTCCATGTGAAAGGCTGATTAATTTTGTACTGTTACTAAGGGGAAACAAATGCAGATTTCTTCACACTATACATTTATATAAACTCAAATGTTGTGTTAAACATAGCAAAACCTTTGCTGCAGTTACCTTAACATTATTTTATTTTACAGTACATTAGATGACACCATACTGTCCTCTCAGGAATCAACAGTTGCTTTTATTTTGTCACGTCTTCCTCCCTAAGGTTCCCTAATTACCCCCATAGTTAGTTGCTATAGGGATTGTCTCCATTTGAAAGGGAAGCATGAGTTTATCAGTGACACAACAACAATGTAAGGGACTCATATACATGTACATTTGAGATGCTGCCTACTTGTTAAGCATTTATACTCTGAGCATGACGAAGGGTAACTCAGTTGTACAGTGTGTAATTTTGAGATCTGTTGTTTCATTAAAATGGATAGGAAGTGCATGTTGTAAGACGTCCTACAAGGTTTCAACATACTGGCTAGAGAAGAGTTGCAGGCAGCAATGGCAGGACCATTGTACATGAGTGTATCACAAAGTTGTTTTTAAATCTGGGATTTCTACTCTTTTTATAAAAGTTAGAAAATAACTAAAGAAATGCTTAAAGAATAAGTGAAAAAAATAAAGATATACAGATACGTATATTTTGTAAGCGTTTCAGCTGTTTTTATCCCACTTTTTTAATAGTTTATCTCATTTGGAGTACACAAAAAATACAAATAAAAAAGACAAAAACTACAACGTCAAATGAAAAGGAACAGAAACAAAGAAAGAAATCTTAAAGCATCTGCCCCCACATCTCAAAGCACAACCAGCCTGTGAATATTCATTAAGAACATAACTCACTTTTTAACAACAGAGATGAAAAATAAAAACAATTGAAGTTAATACTCAAATTTATACTCAATCTACATTTTGTTCATATTTTGACGACAATTTTTAAAAAATCAATCTAGCAAATATACAAATCGAATTGACCTGATGCTGATTCATACTACGCTGGATGGCAAGCTTAATGTGGAAATCTGTGAGAGGAAAAACTGTATGCTCAGCTCCCAGCTAGGCAGGATTTATATCCAGGAGGTTAAAACTAGCGCTGTACCAAATGATTATTTTCTAATCGATTAATCTAACGATTATTTTTTCGATTATTCGATTATTCTAACAACAAATCTATAAGTTATTCTGATGTGAGTGCACTGGAAATTTAAAATGTTTTCRTCAAATTAAGAAGAACAGTTCTTTAATATTGTAATATTTTCTGTAATAGTTTTTTCATGGACACAAAATATGCACTCTAGAGTCAATTCTTTAACAAAAAAAGCTTAAAAGATTTAACATCATCATAAAATCTCAACCAAAGCATATAAAATTCAAGTAAAAGAAACATAGTACAAGATGTTAACAATCTAACAAATGAACTAAATCATCCAAAATTCAAGTCACTCTGAAAAAACTATAATAAACATTTATTTATTATTTTTTATTTAACATATTTCTCAATATATAAAAATTAACAAATATCAAGACAACATCCAACTCTGTATTGTAACATCAGATGTTTAACTAATTTCTTTAAGGTGAAACTGTTGAAAACAACAAGACTGTTTTGTCTTATTACACAAATTAAAATCCAGCTCCACTTGTTTCTATTGATGTCATTTCCCCGCTAGAAAAATGTGTGATGGCGGTCCATGGAAGGCAAATAAGTTTAAATCAAATAAACAAAAGAGGATGCAGTTAAAAATAAATAAAAGGTATTTAAGCTACGTTTTGAGCATCCAGAACACGTCCAACACTTGTTGGCTGCTTGTGCTCTTTAGGTCAGACGTGTGTCGGGAAGCTCCTCTGTTGTTTGAGACGCTGGGGGAACCGTCTGATGGGGGAACGTGGCTCGACCTAACACCGGTCTCTGTTTAATGGCGGATGAAATAAAGAAAGTGGCGGTACTTTATTAACTTTGAGCAAGCGAACGTCGTGCTCACAAGATAATTAATCCACCAGATAATTCAGAGGCGATCTGTTCGGTGAGTTTTACTCCAGGAGCTGCGAGGCTTTCAAGCTTAGACTGAACTGAAGCAGCGGCTGCTGACGTCATTACGCTCTTGCGCGATGCTGTGTTCAGGACAAGCATGGAAAACTCACCACTCTTATGCCAATACGGTCGCAATGATGCTTTTAGGTACCGAAATGGAATTGCATGAACATTCACGTGGTGGTTATGAAATACAGCGGATCGATAATAAAAAATCTGCGTCGACAAATTTACATAATCAACGTCATCGATTATTTCAACTAATCCATGCAGCCCTAGTTAAAACTACAGTCTACTGAGGGGGAAAAATATTCTTCAGTCTAAACCTGAGATTGTTGCACTTGTCTCACTTTTCTCTGTATGTTCAAGCATTCTTTGAGAATAACCCACGGCTGTTCACCTTGACCAGCAGGTTAGTTTGTAATCTGTATCAGGTCACTGTCTTTTCAAGCATGGCCTGAGAAGATTTAAAACACTAAAGTCTAGCATTTGTTGAAGAAATGCACATCGCTTGCTGCCTAAATAACGTTATGTGCAATCTTATGCGCTACTGTGAGATGTCATGCCCAAATTCTTAGTTACTACCCGACTAATGCCATGCCTCTAAAAGTAGATTGTAACCCCCACCAATAAAAATATATTCAAACTCCTTGAGGCTGATTTAAATTACAGTATATTTGACTGAAAAAAAAAACTGCTTTTCAGTGTAGCATTACTTCCTCAGTGACGAGTTACATGAACAAAAAAGTACTAGTTCTCCATTTTCATAGCAACTCGGTGCTTCGAAGTTGGCCCTGATCTTTTTTTTTTTTAAATTTCCTGCACAGATCGGTAGAAGCAGAGGCTGCTCTCTTAAACTCAATGTCCTGCCTGTGCCTCATGTTCTCTCCAGTCCTTTTTAAAATTTAAATTATGTTCTGCCTCCTTCTCAGCAACGGTCTGACCAAACCTATTAACTCTTAACTTTAATCAATGATTGTTTATCTACAATCTCTCTTTAAGCTCCAGCATTGCGCAGTGCATTTTAGAGAGCAGATTTATGCAGTTTGGACTTGATGCCTGATGCTAAACATTTGGCTTTTTTGTTTTAATAAAAGAAGCAAACTTTACTCAGGAACTGACGAAAGTCATTGTATAAAACCTCTTTTTTTCTTTATTTCTGCATTTGAACAATTTCAGTTACTCAACACACATAACAACAGTTATTACTTATATGTGGAGGTGTTTCATTTTAACCTTTTGTTCTGCAAATATGTGGTGTTTGAATGATGAAAAAGCAAGGATCAAAGGTAAAGTTGAAGACTAAATGTCCAAGCAAAGATACAATCATGGTAAAACATTTACCAGTATATGTTTAGCTTTCATTTATTTATGTATTTTTTCCACCTTTTTTAGGATAATTACTACATTCAGTGAGCCATAAAATTGACATAAAATCCTTTTTGTGTACTGCTACTGCCTATACAGCGGGTAAAATGAGTATTGAACACGTCACCATTTTTCTCAGTAAATATATTACTAGAGGTGCTAATGACATGAAATTTTCACCAGATGTCGGTAACAACCCAAGTGATCCATACATACAAAGAAATCAAACCATAAATGTCCAGAAATGAAGTTATTTGTAATAATGTGGAATGGCACAGGGAAAAAGTATTGAACACACTTACTGAAATTTATCTAGTACTTTGTATAAAAGCCTTTGTTGTCAGTGACAGCTTCACGATGCCTCCTGTTTGGAGAAACTAGTGGCATGCATTGCTCAGGTGTGATTTTGGCCCATTCTTCCACACAAACAGTCTTCAAATCTTGAAGGTTTCGTGGACCTCTTCTATGAACTCTGATCTTTAGTTCTTTCCATAGATTTTCTGTTGGATTCAGGTCAGGTGATTGGCTGGGCCATTCCAGCAGCTTTAGTTTCTTTCTCTGAAACCAACTGAGAGTTTCCTTGGCTTTGTGTTTGGGCTCATTGTCTTGCTGAAATGTCCAGCCACGTTTCATCTTCATCATCCTGGTAGATGGAAGCAGATTTTTATCAAGAATGTCTCTGTACATTTTTCCACTCATCCTTCCTTCAATTATTTGAAGTTTGCCAGTACCATATGCTGAAAAACAGCCCCACACCATGATGTTTCCACCTCCAAACTTCACTGTTGG